CCACTACACTTCTGCATTTTAAATGTAAGAGCTGGGCAACTCTGACATTTAAAATTCATAACCACAGCGATTCCAGACTGGCACGAGCCAGGACTCCTCAGTCCCAGCTCGCACCAGGTCTGTGAGCTATCCCTACTGCTGCTCTGCATTTTAAATGTAGTAAGAGCTGCCTGACTGTTACTATTTTTAAACTGCAGAGCCACAGTGGGGGTAGCTCCTGGACTGGCATGAGCTGGGACAGAGCACCTTCCCTTATTGATTAATCATATAGTCGATACCGCTTGTATTGACTACACAGTTAGTCAGTTACTCACCTCTTAACATCTCTAATGTAGACTCTGTCTCTATACTGTGAGCTAGGGGTATGATTCCTCTCTTTGTCGGAGCTAGGTTAACATTTTGTCCTTGATCACAACAAGAAATAGTGTTGTCAAATCTGTTGGAGTTAAGAGCAGTCAGAAATGCTTTCCTTCACTTCTTCCTTCTACTAAAAAATAAGTCCATCCAAGATAGTGACAGACAGCACGATTTGCATGCATTATATATCAGATCAGTTTTCCCCTTGATCTGCATTGAATCATTTACAGCTTTGGATATGGTACATAGCTGACCAAATAGTCATCTGTACCCGTCTCGTCCGGCGGGTCCCTATGACCTCCCCCCCCCCTCCGGGGCAGGGTAGTAATGTTGTCCGGGCGCCTTTCCTGGCAGCCGCTAGAATGATCCTCCTGCCTCAGCGAAAGTACTCTCCGTGGCATGGGAATACTGGTTCCTCCACCAAGGTCGCGGGGAGGGGGAAAGGGGGACCCGGGCCCACCCTCACTCACGGGCCCCAGCCCAGGGCCCTAAGAACACGGATTGGTCTGGATCCGATCCGGCTGATGGGGCATCCTGCTGCAACTCATCAACCCATCATCCCTAGTGGGTTCTGCCCTGGGCTGCTTCCTTTCCCCGCCCCCAGCGTCTCGCCCCTGGAAGGCTCACCTTTCCTTTGGCAGACAGGCTGCTGACGGGCTCACCTCAAACAAAGGAATTAGCGTGTTGGAATCGCCGGCCTCTCACTGGCCTCCCTAGCCCCCCAGCCCTTCTCGGG